CGCCAGACGTCCCTGGGCTGGGGGTGGGGGGCCACTTGGTCTCACGTTCTTTCCGAAGAGAAATTAGGAGGGAGGTGGGAGGGGGTACCTCCCAAGGGCCGGTTACAGACGTCAACCGGGACGGACGGCTCGGGCCGGGGCCCCCTCCCCCATTCCGACTGCCGGGAGTGACCGGCCTGCAGCAGGCTAGCCTGCCTCGGGGTACGGGGAGAGGGTGGCCCGGGTATAAATAGCTCACCCTACCCCCTCCCCGTTTCATAGAGGCGGCTTTGTGCGGTGCGGAGGGTGTCCAGAAAGTCGGAAAGCAGAAACGAAAGCCCCCAAAAACCTGCCTTAAATGGCCGACCCGATCAATGCCGGGATTGTGGGTTTTTTCTTTTAAAAATCTGCCCACGTCTCTCCGGAGAGGAAACTGCTTAAGGGGGCCGGAGCCCATAACCCGCGGTGATCTCCTCTGCGCGCCACTCCTCCCGCCCCCCCCCCAAATACGCACCCATCCTGGGCGAACCCCTAGAAACCACAGCCCCGAGTCCCTACTCCTGCCTCTTCTCTTTCCCCCGGGGAAGTGGGGAGACGCCGACAGTTCCATCCGGCGTGGAGCGGGGCGAGGGTCTGGGCGAAAGCAGCCGGGCCGGCCACCGGGGCGCACGGGGCAAAGGGCGCGCGGAAGATCCGGGGCGCACGGGGCCTACAGGCGCCTGACAGACCTCCCTCTCTTCCAGTGCACGGGCTGGCGGCCGGCGCGGCGCCCCAAGACTCGAGTTCCAAATCCCCGGAGCCATCGGCCGACGAGTCACCGGACAATGACAAGGAGACCCCCGGCGGCGGGGGGGACGCCGGCAAGAAGCGGAAGCGGCGGGTGCTCTTCTCCAAAGCGCAGACCTACGAGCTGGAGCGGCGCTTCCGGCAGCAGCGGTACCTGTCGGCGCCGGAGCGCGAGCACCTGGCCAGCCTTATCCGCCTGACGCCCACGCAGGTGAAGATCTGGTTCCAGAACCACCGCTACAAGATGAAGCGCGCCCGGGCCGAGAAAGGTATGGAGGTGACGCCCCTGCCCTCACCGCGCCGGGTGGCCGTGCCGGTTTTGGTCAGGGACGGCAAGCCGTGCCACGCGCTCAAAGCCCAGGACCTGGCAGCAGCCACCTTCCAGGCGGGCATCCCCTTTTCGGCCTACAGCGCGCAGTCTCTGCAACACATGCAGTACAACGCCCAGTACAGCTCGGCCGGCGCCCCCCAGTACCCGACAGCACACCCCCTGGTCCAGGCCCAGCAGTGGACTTGGTGAGCGCCCGCCCCTCCCAGACTCGAGGCCCCAGGCCCAGGCCCCACCCCGGCGGCGGAGGCGCGGAGGACTCTCGGCCCGTACGGTGGTTATTATATTATTATAATTATTATTATGGAGTCGAGTTGACTCTCGGCTTCGCCAAGAGTTGGCCTGCACCTCCTTGGAGAGGCAGTTCCACCCACCCAGCTCCGCCTCACCCCTCTCTCCGTTTGAACCATTGGAGATGGCTGAACCCTAAGCCGTGTTTACAGAATGTTTGCGCAGCTTCGCTTCTCTGCTTCTCCCCGGGGACCTAATGGTCCCAGTGTTAACGTCTTCACTCGAGAAGGAGAAAAAGACCCCCCCCCCCCCGCCTCGCGCCCTGCTTTTGTGAATTTTGTAAAATACGTTTGTGTGAGTAGCGATATTATTGTCAGCGTCTTCTTCTAAAGCAAGTGGAAAACACTTTAAAAATAGAGGATTTTTTTCTCCTTTTTGTTTAAATAAGAAAATGCTAAATATTTATGGCCATGTAAACGTTCTGACAACTGGTGGCAGATTTCGCTTTTCGTTGTAAATATCAGTGGCGATTGTTGCCAAAATGACCTTCAGGAAGGGCCCGTACCCCTCCGGGCCCAACTCCTTTCTTTGTGGTTTGTTTTGGTTTGCTTATGTTTGGTTACTCCTGCTTTCTTTTCTTTATATATTTTTAAATTTTGTTCAGTGCAAACATTTCTCAAATATGACAAAAGGAAAAAACAATGTAGGCGAGCGAGAAGCCCCCCTGCCCCGTCCTCCGGGGCCTGAGCCCCGGAATTTGGAGCTCAGCGGTTCCGTGCGGTTCCCCAAGAGCGCCGGGCGCTGAAAGCTTTCAATTTTTTTAAATAAGAATTTTAATAAAAATCCTGTGTTTAAAAAAAAAAACCAAGCCCGGCCCTCCCGTTCTGTCCTACTTTGTCGCCCCGCGCCGGGCCTGAGGCCTCGGGCAAGGAGCCGGGCCAGGCCGCGGGCCGCGCGCCCCCCAGCATCCTTTGGAGGCCGGGGCATCCGGGGCGCGGCACAGGTCCCGGGAACAGGCCTCACCCGGGCGGGCGGGTCAAACTCCGCGCCTTGGCCCTGGGACACCGGACCTCAGGCGGGAGCGCCGGGCCTCGGGCCTGTGAGCGTCAGAGCGGCCGCCCGGGGTCGCCCGGCCTCTCTCGCCCTCGCCCCTGGTCTGCCTCTGAGCAGCTGCGTCCTGGCACCGGAGGAAGAATGACTTTGGAAAATGCGGAGGCGAGAAGAGCAACCCTTACTCGCTTGCCCAAATCTACGACTGGCTCCTTCAGCCTGGGGAGCTGTTGATGCCTCTACACTCGTGACTTTCACTTTGTTGCATTTGATTTAGCTCGTGCGAAGAAGGGGGGGTCGCTGAGGTTGAGACCGGTCGTCTTCTCTCCAATCCACAACCCCCTTGTTCGCGTCCGGGAGGTGGCCTAAGAGGAGGCTCCCAGACCTGGGCGCGGAGGCCCGGGACGGGTTTCAGGGCGCTCCAGGCTTCGGCTACAAGGAGGGGCGCGGGAGACGGGTGTGCGGTGGCCTCGCCAGGCTTCTCGTCCGGGGAGGGCCAGGCAGCGGGAGCCGAAGGCGATCCCTGCTAACCGAAGCCTTCCTTGCATCCCCGCTCTCCGCGTCTCCTGCCTGTCTCCCCGGACTGGATGCCGGGCCTCATCCCTTCCTAGCAATCGGCTAAGCGCGTTACCCCCAGACCAGCTCTGTGGCGTGACGCTGAGCGAATTGCTCGATAGAAAGTAGGGGTCTAGGTGGGGTGGTGCGCCCACCTCCTGGGCTGCCGTGAGGGGAGCGGGAGGTGACCACACAGCCCAAGTTCGCCCGGGGGAGGGCGCCTCGGTACTTCCCTCGTTAGAGGTCCGATTCCATCCTATCCTTGTCGCCGGGAGAGCTCCCTCAAGGACGCCGGTGCATACCCGGGGAGCGTCGCAGAGGGCCCCGCCGACTCAGGGGTAGGGCCGCCTATCTCGTGTTATCTCGCTGATTTCCGAAAACACCCGGGGCTCCGAAGCTCAGAGCCCAGCCGGCGCTGGGAGACGCCTCGGGATATTGGAAGTCAGCCCCAGGCGGAAACTGAATCTGGGTTGTTTTTTTTTTTTTTTTTTTTCTCGAGCTCCACCTTCGTGGCTGGGGGCGGGGGGCGAGGAGGCAGAGCAAAGGGAGCCGGTCCCAGCTGACTTACTCGCTGCCTCTAGTTGATGATCAGATTTAATTCAATATCTAAAGCAAACATGATTATCCGTGTGACCAAATCGGCGCGTCAATAGCACTCAACGCCACCCGCCCGGGACGTGATTACACGCTCTTCCCGCTTTGCGCAGCCACCCCTGGATAATTGAGGGCGTTGGAGTCTTGCGAATATCCTCCTAAATGTCCTTTCTCCTCTCTAGGTTCGACTGGGTTCTTCCAGGTCTTCCTCAATGCTGGAAAGTCTACCTTTGTTCCCCACCCTAGCGTGGAAACGTTTGGAGTTTTATAATTTGCTCTTTGCAAAAGCTAGGAGAATTCGCAAATCGTGTGTGCCCAATGCCCAGCTTGCTCAGATACCAACCACTCAACATTCCTCTAGTAAACCTCCCTATAACCCCATCCGCCCGCCGGGAAAGTGAGAGTTCTCAGCCTGTTGGAGTGGGGTTGTCTGGAGACCCGAGGCACAACCCCAAGACTTGGCTGGTTTTGACTGTTTCAGGACCCAAACTTATGGGAGCCAAAAATGATCGTAGGCAACCCCCACCGCCGCCCCTGCCAGGCCTCCAGCGAGGAAGGAGGCAGCGTGGAAGGGCCAAGTTCTCGCAGGCTTCCACGTGTGTGCTTTGAGGGCACATTTGGGGCGGTAGCCAGGCTCCGGGCCTGGTGTCTGGGTGTGCGCTCCAGCGGCCCGGAGCCCGGGAGGTGGGCCCGACGCCCGCCTCTCTCTCTGTCCTCGGGTCCCCACGGAGTCAATAAAAGCGCCCGCAGAGCCTGTGTGGCCCTAACCCCAGCGCCCTGGGAGCGCACCCGGCGCCGGGTCCGCTTCAGCAGTCTATCTTCGCCCAATCTACAGCGGGGCCGCACAAAACGGCACAATGGGAGAGCTGGGAGCTGGGGATGTTAGAGGCGTGCATATTAAAAAGGGACAGAGAAAGGATCGCAGGGGACAGAGAGGGGAAGAGGGAGAAGGGGCCCACCCTCCGCCCCTCCACCCCGCACCATTCAGCGCGCTTATCGCGGGCAGTGAATCCCAGAGTCAGGCAGAAGTCTCCTTGGGGTTTTGTTGGGCCCGTCACTGGGTCCCTTTGTCATCCGCGGGCTCCATGCTGGATTCCATATGGCCAGCTGGGCTAAGGGAGCGCGAGGAGGGACCCGCACAAAACCCAAATTGTGTCCGGCTTTCAAACCCTGTATTGTTGTCTGTGAAAGGAGGACGCATTAAAAATTCGTGCTATATCTATTGGGGAGGAGGTTGGAGGAGGGGGAAACAGCCACCCCTGTCTTTGATGGCCTCAGAGGGCGCTTGCCCCGCCTAGGCCCCGTGACACTCTCAGAGCTGGAGATCTCTCTTTCTCTCTGTCTCTGCCTCGGTCCCTCTAGCAAATACTGGCTCTAAGCTGGGGCTCAGGTCTGCGTATGTCTGCGTTCCGGGTCGGGGCTCCTTGCGCGCTTTGCAGGCTCCGGGGAGCGCAGCTAGCAGCTAGGCCTCTCCTGTCTAGGAGCCTGGAGTAGAGGCCAGTGAGCCGTGCCAGGCGCAGGAGGACACCGAGGTGCCCAGCGCCGGGGGAAGCGCAGAGGCCACCGGCTTCACGGCTCTAGGATAGATGAAGAGCCAGGTCTCTTGTTCCTGAATTGGACGCGTCCTGACGCCTGGGCACACGGAGCCAGCCCTCCTCGCACTGCAGGAGAGGGTCAGGGATGCCAAGGGACCCTTTAGGCCTGGATTTCTGCTGCAGCCGGCCTGAGCCGGCTTTCACCCTGCAGGACCCCCTCAGTGACCAACCCCCTGTCATTCAAATTATGCACCCAACCCTCCTGGCATCTCGGTGCCACCACGGGAAACCGGTTTAGAAACTTCTTTCACGACCAGTACCTCCGTGCTGGAGGAGAAAGGGACTTCCTCTTTAATTCTCAATGTCTCCTGCATCGTTGCTTTTGGGAAACAGGGAGGCAGAGAGGGACTCCCAAAGAATTTGCCCAGTTTTGCCTCACCTAAGCACTCCGAAGTTAGTGGGGCAGTCAGAGAGCTGTTGGGTCATACCTTGTCACTAGAGCCAAGTCAGAAATTCTCGAAAGGAGTCCCCAAACAAAAAATGTGTTAGACAAAATGAATTCTTGCTGAGGCTGTGCACTGTATGGAAATAGAATCCATCAAGGATTCCAGGTGGTAATTCCAGCTTATCCAAATTTCAGGCGACCACCGCCTTTGTTTTTCTATTTTCCACAACTGCTGTCATGTTTAGTAGAATCATCTAACTTGATAAGAGTAGAAGCCCCCCATCTCCATGCTCCCCACCCCAGCCAAGGAAACAGTCTTTTCCTTACCTATTGACTGTTGGGCTTAGTCGAGACCTGGTGTGGATTTCTCCAGCCTTTTCAAGAGCCTGGTCATTGAAAAGCTAATCCAATATTTACCAAGCATAAGGACAGTTCTCAGACGTATTTATTAAGGCCCTACACTAAGTGATACTTGGCCTAAAGACAAAGACTAGGGGAGGGGGCTTCCGGGCGCACCCGATCCAGCCCGGGTGGGGTCTCCGGCGCCCAGAACTCTGCAACGAGGCGCGAACTTTGGAGATGCCGAAGTTCCCCTCCCGTGCTTAAGTGGCGTGTGGATTAGATATTATGTTGGCCGGTATTTCAGGAAATATGTACTTGTGGCTTCCTGAGAGGCCGGGCGCAATGACACTCTAAACCGTGTCGATATATCATCTTTTATCCAGGATCTGCAAATAAACCCCTGATCCCCCAGCGCATTATAGCCACCGCTATCTCTCCAAGGAAGCGATCTCAGTTTTATTGCTTTCACCAACGCCCCAATTTTCTCTCTCTCTCTCACACACACGCGCGCGCGCGCGCACACACCCTTTCCTCTCCCATCCATCCTGTCTGGTTTTTAAGGACTCAATTTTTCCCCCCTTCCTCCCGGGGCATCACTATGAATAAGAGACAGAAGGCCTAGGCGCCGCCACCCGAGCAAGTCAAGAAATGCAGGCCCGCCTGCCACCAGCCGCGCAGGGAACCTGTAGACGCCCTGGCCGGGGTAGGGGGCGGGAGACCCCCATGTGGCCCGCGCGCCGCCGCCAGGAGGCGCTCCAGCCCCCCGGCGCGCCCAGCCTCGGGAGAGCTCCGGGAGGCAGCCGCGCCCCTCCTCGAGGTCCCCGACAGCCTTTCCACCAAGGCGCGGCCAGGCCCAGGGAGGAGTCGGCGGCTCCGAACAAGGATTAGAGTGTGTAAGTCGGCGGCGGGCTCGGCATGTGCCGCGCGTCGATGGGAGCACCTGCGTTTGCGGACCACTCGTTTACTCTATTGTAATTTTCCCTCCATCCTTCTCCCTCCAAGGACGTGCCAGTCCCCGCCCCAGTCTGCATTATATTTGGGCATAAACAGCAAAGCCGTCCTGCGGTCCAGGCGCGCGCTGGCCACGGGGAGGGCTCCACGACGGGTCTCAGAGAGTGGGGTCCACCACCCCGAGACGACCCCTCGCACGTGTCGGTCCCTGTAAGGGCGGGCGAATGGTGGCTCCAAGTAGTTCAGGGAATAAAAGAGCGATGCTGAAAGGGAATTCCGATTTGGATGGAGGACTGGAGAGCTGGGGGCGGGGGGGGCGCGGATGGTGTCCTAGGAAGGAGAAACCCTCACCTGTCGCTCACCACCGAGTCGGGGGCTGCAGCCACTGCCGCTGGTCCTCGATCCCAATCCGGTGCAGGTGCGGCAGGCCGCTCCGGGGGGTGCACGGTGGGCGGTGAGCCCTCCGAGCCTCTGGCCGCTCCGGGGGACGCAAGGTGGGCGATGCAGCCGCGCCGTCCGGCCACCAGAGGGAGACGCCGCGCCGACGCCGGACGCTGGGGTCCGAGCGAGGGAGGCAGGACGGCGCCCCCCACCCCGGTTCAGAGCGCCCCCCCCCCCCGCTCCGGCGCTGAGGCCCCGTGGGAGCTCCAGATTCTCTGAGAGTAGGAAGGACGCCGGCCCGTGGGTGCCTCCTGAGAAGGTGGGTGCGGGGGGCAGCGGGCTGGGGGCTGGACGGGTTCAATGCGGCCACGTCCGCCCGCCGAGCTCAGGGCCCGCAGCTGCAGCGCGTTTGGTTGATTGTCCCGGGAATGCCCGACGTGAAACTGCCTCCCGTCCTAGGCGCGCTAGTCTCCCATACGTGCGTGCCTTTACTTTCTGAAACCCCCCGCCTTCCACATCCGCAGGGTGGGGCGGGGGATGGCAAGTCGGGGAGGCGGCAGTGCCCAGGGTGTCCGCGGGGTGGCGCGATTGGATAAGAAAAGACCGGCGGCGGGCGCCGTCCAGACTGTCCGGACAGTGGCGCTCGGACACCCGCGGACAGGAGCTGGGGGGGTGAGGCGTCCTTTACGCCAGGGCTGGGGCGTGCGGGTGGGTATGTCCACTTATTTGAGAGAAGGCAGGAAAGATTGCTCAGCCTTAATTCCAGAAACTTCAAAACTTTCTGCCCTTGATTCCAGAGAAGTTAAAACTCTCTGCCCTTGAACTCGGCGCCTGGAGCTGTGATAGAAGAGTCTAAAGGTATATCCACCCAGCCCAAGCACTTTTTCCCTCCTCCGGGCTGCTGACGCCATCCCGGTGTCACCGCCACCCCACAATCAGGACGCAGAACATTTCCCTCACCCCCAAAGTGTTCCCTCCTGCTGGGATGTTTCTTGAAAGACAGGTGAAAGCAAGCACTACCCCTTCCTTTGCTGCTGTTTCACCTTGTAGGGGGAATGGTGGGAAACCCAGTTCTCTGCCCTCAGCCCCATACCAGGAGGTGGTGGCAACCACCGTTTACTGAGTATCCGCTGCTGCCTACGTCATCTTATGCTTCTTATGCTGCTCTTCCTACATCATCTTATCTGATCATCACCCCTAACCTGTGCTCCTGGAGATGAGGAAACTAGGTCTCCAAGAAGTACCTACCCCTAGGAACCAGGCAGTGTCCTGGCAAAGAAGCGGTCCAGAGGGTGGAAGGAGGTTTAGCAGGTGCTCTGTGCTACTTCAGGAGAGAAGGGGCGAGGTGGGGGCGCCCGGAGGCTCCCTCCTGTTCTGCAGAAGACGGCTGGTTGGCAGCCTCCTCCACAGAGCAGTTTGGGGTTTCCAGCCCGCAGCCAGCACTCAGGTCCCAGCCCCTTGACTCCCTCAGAGAAGCCAGCACTGCAGCTCCCTCCCTGGGGCCATCCTGGGCCAGCAAGTGCGCCCCAAGAACTGAGGAAGAACAGGCTGGGGGTCTTCCCTCTGAGTCTGTCCTCCACTTCAGGCCCGTGGCCTGCCATCTCCCCAGTTCTGGTGACACAGCTCCCCTCTGCACACTGCCCCCCCCCCCCGAATGATGAAGGGTACAAATTGATTTTCAATTGCCGAAGGATCTTATCTTTGGGTTTCCCTGATAGCCCAGTTGGTAAAGAATCTGGCTGTAATGCAGGAGACCCTGGTTTGATTCCTGGGTCAAGAAAATCCCCTGGAGAAGGGACAGGCTCCCCACTCCAGTATTCTTGGGCTTCCCTTGTGGCTCAGCTGGTAAAGAATCCGCCTGCAATGGGGGAGACCTGGGTTCCATCCCTGGGTTGGGAAGATCCCCTGAGAAGAGAATAGCTACCCACTCCAGTATTCTGGCCTGGAGAATTGCATGGACTGTATAATCCATGTAGTTGCAAACAGTCAGGCAGGACTGAGCAACTTTCACTTTCATATTTGTATCTTTAAATGATTATCCATCTTTTACCTGATGTACGGAAAATAAGTTATGTTCTGTCGGTGCTGGCGCTGGTCTCCTTAACCTGAGAAATTTACAAGAACTGTTAAAGGCATTTTACTTAACTGTTTACTTCCAGACTTCTCCATGTTTCTTTAGCTCTGCAAGCTGCAACATAAAGGAATGGCCTTGGCATATACCAACATTAAAAAGTTGGGAGGATGGGGTAGATATACAAGGCAAACCCCAAGGAATCGGATTTTTGTTTCAGACACTGGATAAACCTACTGTGAAAGCACCTTTCAGAAATGGCTGGCCCTTCTCCAGCAGTACATACAGCCAGCTCCTTCCAGCCTGAAATGCCACAGTTGAAGGTCCCACTCTGGTGGGTCTGGATGGAGGGAGTGACTCCAGGGACTGCTGCAGGTGCCAGCACTGCAGGTCACATGGCAGGAGGAGCAGGAGGATGTTAGAGCCCGGGATGCCGGCCAGGCCTGGGGTCACCAGCTGCCCGCGGTGGTGGTCTACTCAAGAAACCAGCTCAACTGGTTTCTTCCCTTCCATCTCCCCTGCCACTTCCAGATGGTCCTCCCAGGGCCCTCTCCCTTATTAACTATTTGCACATGAATCTTTGTCTCAGGGTCTAATTTAGGGGACCCCACACTGCACTACCCTGCTCAGAGGGTAAAGCATCTGCCTGCAATTTGGGAGACCTGGGTTCAGTCCCTGGGTTGGGAAGATCCCCTGGAGAAGGAAATGGAAACCCACTCTGGTACTCTTGCCTGGAAAATCCCATGGACGGAGAAGCCTGGTAGGCTATAGTCCATGGGGTCACAAAGAGTCAGACATGACTGAGCGACTTCACTTTCACACTGCACTGCACTTCCTTGAGCTCTCAGGGTACCTTCATCCTGGAACTGGCATTGGCCTCTGAGGACTACCCTTGACCTCTGACTCACCCCAGTGGCCTCTTCCTTGGGGTGACCGCCACTCGTGCATCTTTCCATCCTAACTAGATGTTAGGATGCCACCCCTAGAGCTTGGGATGGCAAGAAAACTGTGAGCCAGGCGACTGTGTAATGAGGGACCTAGAGACTAGATACCAGCTGCCCAGTCACTCTGGCTCCTCAAGGCCAAGCCCAGGGCAGCTGAGCAGAATGACAGCGCTTGTCCCCCTCAGGACCCATCCTCAAGACCAGCGACTTGGTCTCACCCATCAGAAAGCCTGACTCCCAGCATCTCTGAGCTCAACCCACATTTCTGCCCCCCTGAGAGGGATCAGGGAGGTGCCCTGTGCTGTGCAGGGCACCCCCGGGCAGGTTCTGGGGCCAAAACACCGTAGAGGCAGTTGGCTTCCAGCCTTCATGGTGACTCTTGGTCCAGGAGCGCAGGACACAGGACGTCCACCTGTGGCAGAAGCCACTCATGATTCACAAGAGGCTGTGCAGACGGCGTGTCATGGACCAGATAGTGTCCCCAGATTCACACGTCGTGGTCACAACCCCCAGGGCCTCAGAGCATGACTGCTTAGAGACTGGGTCTTAAAGAGAGCATTTTGAAAATGAGATTGTCAGGAGTGGATCCCAGAGCCCCAAGTGCTCTCTGTACAAGTGCTCACGTTTTGGGGCTGGATGATATAGGATGTAGATGTAGGATGGCTTGGACTCCTGCACAGGGATGGACTCAGACCCCAAGGGAGCCCCCGACCCCCTCCCCAGAGGGGAACTGGGAGGGTTTGACAAGCTCCCTGTGTCTGCTTGGTTCCCTGGAGACAGGTTTCTGTTGAGCTGCATTTGTCCTTATCCCAGGCGTGGATGAGAGTTCTGCAGACTTTGAGAAAACCAATCCCCTGAGACTGGAGAAATGCAGCTTCTGACTGGGCAGGTGGGCAGGCTCTGGGGGGAGGGAGACGAGCTGCTGCTCTAGGAAGTCCTGGATGGGAGGCCTAGATGACAAGCCCAAGTGTGTGACCAGGTGAAAAGTGAAAAAGTCGCTCAGTCATGTCCGACTCTTTGTGACCCCATGGACTATACAGTCCATAGAATTCTCCAGGCCAGAATACTGGAGTGGGTAGCCTTTCCTTTCTCCAGGGGATCTTTCTAACCCAGGGATCGAACCCAGGTCTCCCACATTGCAGGCAGATTCTTTACCAACTGAGCTATCAGGAAAGCCCAAAGCCCCTATCAATTATCCATTATCCATTTATTATCCATCATCCAATTATTCCATTATCAATATGGTGCCCACTGGATGGGGGGCCACCCCAAATACGAGGGCAGGAAATCTCAAAATAGTCTTTGAATCATTTGAGAGAAGAGTAAAAAGTAATCCATGAGTAAAAAGTTAATCCAAAGTTTCTGTGGGCCGAGTGGAAGAAATCTTAGCCTCATTTCATAGCAATTTCCTCCCTGGAGTTTCCAGATGAGAAGCCGAGGCCCAAGGAGGGAAGCAGTCTGCACCTGTCACACAGCCCAGGGGCGGCGCCCACACACTTCCCACCTGAATCCACACGGCCCTCGGGGGGCTCCCTGTCTTTCAAACCAGGACTGTGTGACTGTGACGCATACAGACTGTGAGGAGCCTGGACCCAAAATCAGGAGATGGCGGTGTCTGCGTGCAACTTCGGACATATTGGTTATTCTCTCGGGCCTGTTTCCCCCCTGATTACGGCTAACCTGCCCTTCTGAATCCAAAGGGCATCACAAGGAGGCCGTGAGGGTCATGTCATTTGAAAACGGTGGAGCCGGACACCCTGTGGGAACCATCGCACACAGCTCTTCATGCAAAGGACTTCAACGAGGTGCAGGAGGGGAGGGCCAAACACACAGAGGAGGACCAAGGAGTTTGGAGAGAAGAGGACGAAATGGACGGACAGACCTGGGCTGGGCTCCGGATGGGCAGTGAGCAGGGAAGATTCAGGCCCTCTGTCGGGGGGCTACGTGGGCAGCGAGGGCAGTGCCCCCTCGTCTGGCCCTCCAGTGTGGTCGTCACCAGCCACATGTTGGCTGGCAAGCCCTGGGAGTGAAGCTAGTGAGTCTGCGGAACTGAGTTTTCCATTTTATTTAATTTTTACTAATTTAAGTTTAACCACATGTGGCCAGAGGCTCCATACAGGACCGGAAATATCTGAACCACACCGATCTTCTGTTAGGA